TTTTTTTTTTGAATAACTGTATAACGGGCAACAAGTTTCAAAAACCCCATAAAATTTGTAAATTCTTAGCCAGTTTCGAGTTCCGAATTTATCTAAACTTGTCCGGCCTTTCGTGTGTTGTAGAAGAATTTTAGATGTGATCGAAACTTTTCAAATGGCACAACGCTCACACGACTATGCGACAAAAATTTTTCTCTTGAAAATAGAACAGAAGAAGTAAGAAAATTATATTTGGTTTGTGACAGAATTTGTTATATCCATATCTTTTATCCTACTTTTTATAGAATAATTTTTATGGGAATTTATGTCGGGCATCTGTTCCTTTTTATGAGCATCACACGAGGCATTGTTTTCGTTACGTAGGCGTTTGGTCGTTGCAGGCGTTTTCTTTAAAAAGTTTAGGACACTTCCAAGTTCTTTCGCAAATTTGGAGGTGATATTCTAGTTTTTGGGAACGGGAGAATATTTACCAGATGCTACACACTTGAGCAGACGAACAGACAGAAATGTTTAAATCGATTCAGAATTTGATGCTGATCAAGAATGTATATGATTTGCGGGGTCTCTGGTGCTTCCTTCCGGTAGTTGCAAACGTTTTGCCCCACCTCTCATTCTTCGGCGGTGAATATAAAAAAATTTTCCGCGCCTGTCTAACATTACAAAGTATAAAACTTTAGTTCCTTTCCCTTTTTTTTTTTTGTCTTTTTTAGGATAAAGATGATAGGTAGAAAAGATTCTACTACGACCGAGTATAATTTTCTTATTTGTTGAAGCTTGCTTTTGCGTGTTATAAAGAGGTTGGAAAAAAACTAAATTTTGATACACTATAATGTTGGGTAGGCGCGGTCCATTTTACCCACATTTGTACAGGTACCGTGACCATTGCCCAAAGAATGTGCGTTTAAATTTTTGTATGATTGGAAAAAAGTAATGGACTAAAAACCAATTTTTTACTTCTTTTGAAAAACAGATGTCTTCTTAGCTTAAATGGTCCAGTAGGCGTGGTCTTTCGATCGATTTGGCCTATTTTCAATACCAACCTGCGTGCAAAAATTCCTACTGTTTCCGCTAAATTTGAAGTCGATAGTTTAAGTTTTGCGGCCGGGACAGACGGACAGACAAACAGACAGACGGACGGATGGACGTGCTTAAATGGAATCGGGTTTTTGATGCTGAACAAGAGTATGTTTGTTAGACTTTGTTGGGACTCTTAAGTTTCATTCTGGGCGTGGCGAACGTTTTGACAAAATGAATATGTTCCTTATCCTTCGGTGACGGGTATGAAAAGAATAACTTCTATATGCTATTGAAAACTTCTTTAAGTAGCAGACTAGCAAATCTATCTAAAATGTTTTCTTTATTATTCTGAAATGGATTAACGTTATTAGGTTTTAAAGAGCTTTTGTGGAAGAAAGAATCAAGACTAATGGATGACGTGATTAACTTACTTTCACATTATATAAATATTTTTGTGGTATTAAAATGAAAAACAAAAAATCTTAACGTTACTACTATACACACATCCAAAACTCTTGACAAATTGCTGGCTGGTCAGGAAAGTTTTTTCTCTTCTCCTTTTTTTTTATTTTGGAGTTCTTCATTATTAAAATCCTTGACCTGTTTTCAACCATATTTGCTTAAAGTTGCCGGCCATTGGTTGGGTTTTTTCTTCATTACAGAAATTCTTTGAACTTTTCTTTGATTTACACGTCCAAGATTTGATGTATGCATGCAGTGAAAATGTCTTGTTACACGTTGAATGTCTTACTGAATTATTTTCAAGTTCTTCTTAAAAAAAAAAAATTGGAAAATGGATATCGTAATAATGTAATATGGTGAAGTATAAAAATTATTGGACAGGAATCTTGATTGTCAGTACAGGCGTCTTACTGGCTTTTTTAATCACAAAAGCGGTTTCAACTCTAAGGCAATGAGGGGCAATGAGAACGGCAAGCAGTCTATAATAAGTTCAATAATGGACTCTACTTATCGCCACATCCGCGATAACATACTCGGTTCGTTCAAAATAAGGCGAATTTTGAAATTTCGTGGGCTATGCACAATCGTTTTTCGAAATTTTTTTTTTTAGGTTATGTTGCTACACATGTCCCCAGCATAGATTAACATTATCACCCATTTCGCAATTTTGATTTTTTCTTGTGGTACTAGCCAGATTTGTTGTGAGTGGTACCAGCTCTTCATAACAGACCGAGAGACGATGTTAAAGACGATGCCCGCCGTAAACGCCCCACCACGAAGCATTGAAAAATCGTCGAGTCACTATTAGAGAAGTAGCTGAGGATATCGGCATATCGGTTGGTTTTGAATGGAATTTGTGATATTCAAGCTTGTTCCGGAATTGCTAAATTTTGATTTTGATTTTTCGTAATTTTTTAACAAAAAACAACAGCCTGATCATGCCTCAGTTATCGTATTAACAGCACTTGACCTGCTCCGATTTTGTCTTAAGAAGAAAGGGCAGTACTTCGCCATGATTGAAGACCGTATCGCTGGAAGAGCTCAAGGCAGTTTTTTTTTATATGATCAATCACGCAGGAGATGTGCGCGATAAGTGTTACATCTTTACTGACTAAAGTAATCTCTACCACATTGAAATTTGAACCAGCGATAGTCGGGATTCTTACCTATTCGGCTACCCATGCGGATAAGAACTCAAAGTCATCCCAAAAAATACACATCTGAAGTGCTTCGAGTATTAGAAAATGTGCTGACGCAAAGGCGATTACGCTGATCAACACAAAATAGGCATTGATGATCAAGTAAATATTTTTCGAGAAAAATAGAGTCGCCTTTTTTTTCCACACACCTTGTCGATAAAATTAAAAAACTGGTGTATAGAAATCATTAATGTAACAAATGAACATTTCTTTTAAATGCTTATATATATAAGATTCCTCATAGCCTATTTAACCCTGAAGAAGTTCAATTTTATCCACTATTATGCGCGAAATTTAGCAAATGAAGCGGAACAAGAACCCGAGTCGATATTATTTTAATGCAATTTCGATGCAATTTCAATTCAATTCAGTTGAAATATTTTCAACTCAATTTCATTTCAAATTCGTTTTGAATTCACTTAAAAACTGTTTCACTTATTCAACTATGGAATTTTCCGATTTGTGACTGAATCGTGAAATTTTTTTTTGCATTTTATTGCAATGGATTGAATGGGTGTTTTGAAGTTGACAAACAAAACTTTTAATAAATTTGTTTTAATTCAATAATTACGTTTTTCTGAAGCGATTTTAGTTTGTTTGTCCGTCCGTCTGTCTGCCTTTTTTTTTTTTTGTGTTCGACTTATACGTGTCGCAAAGTTAATCCTCCACCCTGTGTTGGCCCAAGGATGAATGCTATTGAAGATTATTCGGATCGGATCACTGTCTCAAACACTTACCATTTAACGCCTTATATTTGCACAATCGTTATGTGAATAACTGTAGGGTGATGTAGGCGTATTTGATGATGGGCTGTGGACCACTATAGCGTTTTTACATTTTCCTTTTTACACGAAATGCATATTTCTCTGTTAAAGTTGTAGGTGAGTTATCGATATAAAAAAATTCGATCCAAGCTTAAGATTCGTTTTTCTCTGTCAAATTTTTTATAGTGTTGAAAAGTTGGTTATGTAATTAATTAAATTTTTGACCAATGTAGATTTCATATAGGAATTTGCGATAACA